TCCATATCTTGAAAATAAGCGTGCAGCTGAGGTCACATTATTGAAACGAACGATACCGAGTTTGTAGAACTAAGATTGAAAGTCTAGAAAAAAAATATTTCCACCGAATAGAAAATACGTGTATACAGATGTTTTGCGAAGACTTGGACTGTCAACAGTGCCGAAATTCCGTGTAGCAGTAGTTGCGCGGTCTTGCGATAGATGGTGCTGGCATATGTTAGATAAGAACAGATGAATGCGTTTGAGTAAGACAGAATGATATATATTATATAATATAATGTAAAAACTAAATCAAAGATGTCGCCACTATTATCGAAATTGGAATTAAAAAAGTCTGTACTATCGACTTTGATTGAGTTGGGTAATCGGTTTAGCATCCCCTTAAGACTTATTGGATCTATTAGCGCGCAAATTATTAAGATATGCGATGATATGCGAATAGATTTCTGGACAGGCAATTCGTAATGATTAATATCGAGTGGAGTTAATTTCGTTGAATAGTATAGAACTCACTTGATGTTCGTCATCCGATGTGACGATGTAACCATCGAGAGCTGGCCCTTGAATTGCCACTACTCGAATCATCTCGGATCTTAGTTGTCTCAGTCGCAGAGAACCGTCTTGTCGGTCGACCGGTTGATTCCCAACATAAGCGTTCACTGGGCAGTATAATCTCTTGGCGCCATTATAGTTATGCTCCGGATTCAGTAGTGTGCTAGTATTAGCTTTCGTTAATCCTACAGCACAAGCATGTTTTATTCTTCAATTAACAATTTTAATAAAAAACTTGTGAAATTAAATAGATATAACAAAATATTAAAGAAGAAAAGAGAAACATACAAAAAAGTGTAATTTATACATTTTAAAAGAAGAAATAAGAAAATATATATTAAGATATATATATATATATATCTTAATTATACTATGTATAATATATTTAAGTAAAATAAAAAAAATATAAGGTAATATGGGGTAAATATACAATAACATCAACTTTAAGAGCAAATTTAAAATAAAAAAAGGGTTGGAGGCGCCGGGTATCGATCCCGGTACCTCTCGCATGCTAAGCGAGCGCTCTACCATCTGAGCTACGCCCCCATGTGCTATGAGATCTTCTAATAAGTGCTGATCGAATGTACCAAGCACTTTATGTGTATATATACATATATTATTATTAAATATTTCACATTAAAATTGTTATGTTATGTATATTATTACGCTATCTATCTTTACCGAAAATTTATTTGTAAAATATTAGTATAAGCCTTAATTACACAAATGACAAGGTATGTATAATTTATAACGCAAAATAATCATAAATTATATTTAGTCATTATAAATTAATTGAAAAACAGATTTTTAAAAGATATATATCTGATTTCGCGTAGAAAAGTATAAAGTATAAATGTGTACATATAGTGCATACGATATACCTATAAGCATATTTATTGCGTGAGATAAAAAAATGTTTTTTAAGTAGAAAGTTTTAAAAAGAAGTAACTGTTTGACAGTCTATTATCGATTAATATGATTCTAATAATTTTGTGTCTATAGTATATTATATCGTAACTTGAAAAAATGAAGATTTACAAAGACTTTTTATCTCTATCAAGTACTAAGAACGCACTTTTGTCGAAATTAAATGTCAGTAAGTAGCTTTTTTTCTCACAAACACTTATGTATTTTAAAATGCATTTTAAACGATCTATACCTAATTCACATCAGATTTTGAGAATAAAACTCTGTTCATAATTGTACTTGCCGTGCATTTTAATTTACATCTCAATACGTAATATTTTTGTATTCTGATTTTTTAAAAATGTTTTCTTAAATGTTTTATGCCGTGTATAAAATGTAAATAGAATTCTATCCTGACTTCTGATATTAGGAATTATAATTTCGTTTAAAGTATGTTATATGAATTAAATATGCATATATTCAGAACATTAGGCCCGTTCTAAACAAAATAGAACAAAAGCGCTTATTTGGAAAACCTAATTAAGGGTTAGTGATAGAAGTTCAAATCTAGAGCAATGCTGAAATTGCACCAAGTCGAGAAAATTGCAATTGATGATCTGTGAGAGAGCCGATTATAAATGTTCTCTGGTAAATTGAAGAATTTCATTGTAAATGTTTTAACAATATCTTATAGTACGGCGTTTTTAAAATCTTACGATTCTAAAAGATGGACGATGAGGAACGTGACGCAACTCAAATTAACTTAATTGATCGGGAACTAATTTGATTTTCGTTACGTGTAGTATACGTCCCATGGGAATCCAGAGGGTGTGCTAAGTGGTGCTCGTATACCAGGAAAGCATATCGAACTTGGAGTTTGATCGTCCCGAAATGCACGTTTTGATCGTTACGTGTATTGAACCTTCACCGGTATCTTACAAGTAGTACACGTATAATCGATTAAATGCGTGCCTTTTCCTCCTCTTCCTTTCTTTCTTCATTTTTATTTTCTTGCATTATTGAGTCTATCTTTCCGTGCAAAACGTAGAAGAATGCGCGTCACTCGCGATAGGTAATCAATTTCGTGAGCGAATGGATCGAATATAATTCGAGCGAGATCATGTATTCACGCCTTCGCGTATTTTATCATTAATGCATCGTAACCGGATCAGCGTATTGTTTAATTTAATAATTTAACGTAAACATCAAGTAATATTAAATATATTACTAGGGAAGTAGGAGCGTGCAGTAGGAAAGTTTTACTGCGATGTAACCTTACAATTTTCAGCTCAGGTAATTTTCCCTGTAATTTTCCCGTGTACTGTAAAGGTCACGTCGCTCACCCCTCTTGCCCTATTAGGTATTCACAAATCTTTTCTTATCCCTTATTTCTTCTAGTTGTTGAAGATATGCCATCAGAGAAAAGAAGTTCAATATGTTATACACAATGGACATTGCACGTGGAGTTTATATCATCAATAAAATAGTTTCAAATCGGAGAACACTTTTTTCCATGATAAACTCTTAATTATAAGGAAAGAATAAGGAGAATTGTTGTCTTAAGATAAAGTATTGTATTGGATTATTCCTCATTAGACAAAGGAAGGTAAAGAACTTTAATTAAAATAAATTTATATATATATATATA